ATGTCTAGAATGTTTTTCAATAAAATAAATAAGGATAATTTTGTTAAATAATGACGCGAAGAATAAATTATTGAATGGATGAATGGATGAATGGATGGAACGTTAACATAAGTATTAGATTTTTTTTATCTGAAGTATTATTTATTCCCATAAAATTATTAATCGTTCTATGTAAGATGGTGAAAGTCATGTATTTTACATCACTAGATCGATTTCAATAAATTTTTTCCCAAAATAATTTAACAATAGGCCGATAGATGACTAAAATTTATCCCCAAATTTATGCATCAACTCTATTCAATTTTGTACATCGAATAATCGGTTAATATTCGTTGATTGGTTTGTGTAATATAAAATGAGTATTATTTCTATATTTGATCGACAAAGTCTAAATTATTGTCAACCCCGATTATGGGTACACAACTTTTGTAATGCAATAAACATTATTTTTTATGATTTCAATTAAAAATATAAATCATACCATTTTGGCGATCATATCTTAAAAAGGATAGATTAATTCAATGAATACTATAGTAAAATAACTGGTTATTTGTGATTTGGTTAATTAACCGTTAAATAATCCAGTTAATCGTTATTTAATCCCACTCTAACTACAAGTTTATTTTATTCATATTTTCATATAATTCTAATAAAGACAATTTATTTCTAAATAGATATTTCTTATGATCTAATAGAATTTTAATATTCATTTAGCTTAATGAAATTGGAATAAAAGTGATTTATATAAACAAATTTCAAAAAAAATAATATCAATCAAAAAGATTAAAGTAAAATATAAAATTCTTTATGAAATGTATTTTTCTGTCAAAATTCGTAAGAAATATTAGTCAAATCAAATTTATATATTAAAATTATTTTTTTAAAATTTTTATATTTTATATATTAAAAAATATATATATAAATAATATTTAATTTTTGAAAAAATTTTTTTGATACAGGGGGATATTCAAATCCTCTCTAAATCATGTGATTTTTGATCATGTTAATTTAATATGTAAAATGCAAGTTTAACGATTTATAATAATTTAATGAATTTTAAAATAAAAATTACAATTGCAATATCAATTAAAAAATTTAAAATTTATATTTTTGGCGACCGAAAGGAGCCGAGTTCAAATTACAGTAGTAATTCGAGCCATCATACATAAACTAAGCATTATTCTCTTTGTTTTTTTCAGGACAATTTTATGAATCATGATACCATGATTTACAAATAGAGCATTGTCTCTTGTTTCTTTTTCTTGAAGTGTCTTCTTGAATATCTACATTTTTGCTGTTTGGGTTGTTTTTAATGGCTGATAGATATCTTTTATTAGCTGGTCTACCTTTTCCTTTATGTTGAAGTGGATTTGTAATTTTGGTTTTGCTAAGTATGTCATTATGTTGATCTGCATTTCGCATCGTATTCATTTGTACTTCAATAAACTGTTATAAAACTTCTTCAAAAATCTGAATAGATTTATTTTCAATTGCCAAGTTTAAAGCTTTCTTGCAAAGTCCAAGACCATGACTATATTGGTCTTTTTTTGAATCCAAATATTTAACAAGACCACTATAAATATCTTGTTCGCGAATAGTATTAATTATAGAAAAGGTTCCGGTCTGATTTGGTTGTTCCTCATTTTCAATAAGCTAAATTGATTCTTCAGAAACATTTTCTGTTATTGTAAGACTTCTTCAAAATACCAACGGGAAGGAATTAGTTTGATATTAAACTGTGCAATTTTTGATTGCAATATTACTGCAAAAAAATGTCTGCAGACAAATCCAGCATAAATTAAATAAAGACATGTACAGTAATGAGTTCTATCATCAAGTAGTACAATAAACTGTGATCAATTTGTTTTACTTTAAATATGTTTAACTTCCCAAATTTCCTTCACGATACCATCTGAACAATCCTTGAAAGCCATATCAAGTAGAATTTGTGGCTCCTCATAATTATCTTCCACAAATCCTATATTATACTGATTCTTATCCTAAATTGATAAAATCAAATGTTATTATGCAGTTCGAAATTAAATTACATGATCATATATGGGAAATTTTACCTGTAATACTATATTTCTGATTTCTTTAATCCAAGTTTTATATAAAAGAGCCTCAACTATCTGCTTTCATTGTAAAGCTAATGAATTTGGTATTTACAAATTTCATCAATAGGCTTAAAAATTGTGCTAGAAACTTGTGGCATTCTTACACTAGGATTCATATTGTAGAATTCTTGTAATCTTAAATATTTGGCTTCATCTTTCAGCCGTAATTCAATTCCTAAATAAAACTGACACAATGAACTTCTTGAATTAGCTTCTATTTTATAACACGATTCATACTTTCCACTTGTTGAGTTGAATGTATATTTGCCATAAACTACATTTAATAAATCCATAAGCCCAGCATGTTTTAATAGGATACAGTACATGCTTACAGTATTTTTGAACTTCAGAATATTTTATCATTAGTTCAGCCCAACGATTCTCAAAATCTAATATAACAAGTGAATTACGCAAAGCATAAAATTCTTCAATAAAATCATCCCATTTGTTGTTTAACTTTCTTTTAACTTTTTTAACCAGATTTTACTGAATATGAAAAGCATAATGCCTTATTATCATTTCAGGATATTTGTTACTAATTGCAACTTGTATAGTAGGATCAGCATCTGTGAAAATTATTGCAGGTTGAAAGCCTCCAGTGACACGCATTGTTTGTTCTAAAATCTATTCATATGTTGATACAGTTTCGTCACAAATAACTGCTGTTACCATAATTTTACTTTGTTGATCAGAATCTATTATAATAAATACACTTAAAGGCATCAAATATTTATTAGTTTTACATGTGTTATCATTAATAACAACATCATAATACCGAGACCATATTCTTTTTTGCTTTGGTGACATCCAAAAAAATTTTGGACAGTCTATTATCAATCCCTTCCAAATCAACTTGAAAATACCACTCAGAATTTTCTTCATATAATATCTTTAATGTTCAAGAAGTATTGCTACGTCATTTTTAACCTGAATATCAGATTTAAACTGTAAAGATTTTGATTATAAATATCCTGATTTAGATATTTGTTTCGTAATATTCTCTTTAAGACAGTAGCATCCAGATGACATTCTTGAACATAAAACTGTATTTCTTTCATGATATCATCTGGTATTTTGCGTGATATAGGTGAAAATTCTTGGAGAGCAATTGTACTTTGTAATGCATGATTATGTTCATCAACAAATTTGTTAATAAACACTAAATTTGAACGTTTACGATATGCTGCATTTATAAGAAATCCACAACCAATACGAGCTGATTCTTGGTTTCGATTATGTGTAGGATTGACATTTTTTTAGGTTCATATTTACCTCCATGATGACATTTATATGTTTTTCGGTCCAGCTACCATCTTCTTTTTCGCATCTTACTATTCTTATTTCAAAACCTGTTTTTGCATATCATTTTAAACATTCCTCAAGGACTTCAAATGTTATAAATGTTTGCCCAGTATATATATCTTTCAATGAACTATCAGGTTTATTATCAATATCGCTAGCGTCATTTATATCATTTTCATCAGTATTTACATCATTTTCGTCATAAATGATATCAGAAAAATTTAGAATATCGTTCATCTAAACAAATGTCATTAATAAGGCTAAGATGATGTAATAAAACTTTCTTTATATCAACTTACATTTGGGAAGTTTAAGGAAAGAATAGCAATGAACGCGAAATTTAATGTAAAAGGATTAATAATCAAAAGAGAATCAAAAGTAAAAAAAAGTTTAATTAATCGATTAATTTATCATCATATAATATTTCACATGATAAACATATAATATAGAATATGGATACCTCTGGTATCAACCTAATATTTACTTAATTTTTTATATTTAATTATTTTATATATTATAAATATTTTTTTTAAAAATATTTTAGTTTTCTTTACAGCTAATTTCATAATTCATAGATCACTAATAAATTGTGACTGAATACAACTAAAAATTTTTTATAATAAAATTACTATAAAATATTGTGACTAAATGTGACTGAAAAATTATTAATGGTTTATGAATTATGAAAATAGCTGTAAACATATTTATTTTATTTATTTCAAAAATTAAAAAATATAAAAAAAAATATATAAATAATTTAAGTTTAATTTCTTATTATATGATAATAAATGATTATATAAATTTATAGCATAAAATTACAAGTATAAATAATATAATTATTTTATATTAGAAAAAATTAATATAGAAATGATAAATAAATCAATATTTATAATATACTTATTATAAATTTAAGTTTAATTATAAATTTTTAAGTGTTAATTATTTTTTATAAATTTATATTATTATTATAAATAATTCTTTATATGGGTGCTATGCTATTAAAATTGAGGTACAAGACATAGTAAATCATATGATTTATACCTCAATTTTAATAATATACCACCCATATATAAAAATCTAAGTATTTAAGTTATTTTACTATAATAAATAGACTTCTTATTAAATTTACCATTTTAAAAAAATATATATTTTATAATATCTAAAATTTGCTAATAATAATATTTATTAATATTATTTTTTATTTCTAAATTATTTTAAATTAATTTTACCATTTTTAGTTTTTGAATTTTATTAATTTTTATTAATTTCATCATAGATTTTATCATTTAATTTAATTTTTTTTAAAATTAATTTTATTAATTTTTTGTATTTAGAATACCATCTAACATTACATAAAATATTGTCTTTTAAGAATACTTTGTGTTAAAAAATCCAAATATTATATTAAATATATTAAATATAAAAAAAATTCTTAAATTAAACTAAATATAATTTAATTTTTATTATAGTTTTTTGAATAAAATTCAGATATAATTAATTTATTTATCAGATATAAATTTATCACTAATTTACCAATATATTTATAATAATTTTTAATTAAAAATTCTTATTTTTTTTTTTTTTTATAAATCAATTTTAAATTTTAAAAAAGTTTATTTTTAAAAAATAAATTCGTTTATTCTATATTTTTTTGTTTTAGAAGTATTATTAAAATTATTAACTAATAAAATCATTAAATTTATATTATTATTTAAAATGAATTAACTTTTTTTAATTTAAAATTTTTAAAAAAGGTATTTTTTTACTTTATTTGTTTAAAACTATAAATTTGTATAGAAATATAATAAACATTATTTTTTTATTATTTTATAGATTTATTTTTAAACAATTTTAAAAAAAATTATTATAATTTATATAATTTATTTTAATTCATTTAAAAATATGAAAATGTTACATCATAATTAACAATAATTTCAAAATTTATTATATTAGCATAAAATTTACATTAAAGATACTTTTCTTTAAAATCTTTGAGATTAAATTATTTATTTATAATAAATATCTTTATTTAAAATTCTAATAGGTTTTCTTAAATTCAATTAAATGTAATCAAGTTTAAATTTAAAAAAGTCATTTTTAAAGGGTTTAAAATTTTTTCTAAATTTTTAATTATACATTAAAATAGGTTTTGAATAGCATTATTAATTTACATCTGGTCTAAAATCAACTTAAATTAGTTATCAATTGATATAAATCAGCTTAAAATCAGCTTAAATAAATTAGGACTAATTATATTTATTTAAAATTTATTAATTTTATAATTTTATTATTTTTACTTAATTATTAATACTTTAATTTATATTTTATTTAAAAAAATATAGATTTAATTATTTTAAAAAAAATAAGAAAAAATAAAATAATTAATTAAAAATCATTTTAAAAATCATTTTTAATTAATCTATATAAAATATTTTTCTAAAAAAAAATGTAAAAATAAAGGAATAAGTTAAAATTTTTACTTTAAAGTTATTTTTGATTGATTTATTATAAAAGAAAATAAAGAAAAATAAAGAATAAGATTATTAAATCCACATAAAAGTTATTTTTGGTTACTATCTTAATTATAAAATAATAATTTTTCTAAAAAAAAAAAAAATACTAACTATTTATTTATATTAATAGAGTTTTATAATTCAAATTTATATTTAAATATTTGATCTGAAAAGCAAATTAAATACAAATACAAATTTATATTTGATTTAATTATAATCAATAGTAAAGCTATTTTCAAAGTTTTAAAGATTTATTTTATTAAAAAAACTATATAAAAAATGTTTTTGTAACTTTGAAATATTATTTTACTAAAAAAATCACTAAGAAAAACTAGTAAAAAAAGTGCTTTCACAGCTTCAAAAATGATTTTTATTTAGAAAAACTAGTAAAAAATGCATTTGTAACTTTAAAGACATTTTTTACTAAGAAATATCTAATAAAATGATTCTATAATTTCAGAAATATTTTTTATTAAGAAATAGATTGTAAAAATATTTTTTACTAATTAAATAATTCCAAAATTATGAAGGCATTTATTACTAAATTTTTTTTAGTAAAACTGAAGCTATAGAATTATTTTACTAAATTTTCTTAGTAAAACTGAAGTTATAAAGTTATTTTACTAATTTTCTTAGTAAAACTAAAGCTGCAAAGATTTTTACTAAGTTTTTTTAATAAAAATTGCTTGTTACTAAACCTTTATAAAACCTATTTTTGAAATTTTTTAATGTATATTACTAATAAGTTTCTTAATTAAAACTTTAAAATAACTTTACTTTAATATATAATTGTATAAATTAAAAATTTTTATATTTAATTAAATTCGAATTAATAAATATTTGATTCAATTTGATCAATTTGATTTGATTTTTTAATTTGATCAAATATTAGATTTAATTTAATTTAATTTGATCAAATAATTAATATGTTCCAATTTGATTCAATTAAATATTTGATTTAATTTGATTCAAATTGAAAAAATTAAATTAAATTTAAATTGTCTTAATTAGAGTTCTGCAATTTGATTTGATATTTGAATATTTGATTTGATCAAATTTAAATCAAAGAATGATTTATTTGATCAAATCTAAATTAATATTTGATTCGATTTGATCAAATTCAAATCAAGTATTCAAATTTTTAATTTGATTTGAATCAATAGTAAAGCTATCTCTAAAGCTTCAGGAATGCCTTTTACTAAGAAAACTATAGTAAAAAGCACCTCTGAAGCTTCGGAAATGACTTTTTTACTTAGAAAACTATAGCAAAAGTGTCTCTGTAGCTTCAGAAATGCCTTTTTTTACTAAGAAAACCATAGTAAAAAGCGCCTCTGTAGCTTCAAAAATGCCTTTTTACTAAGAAAAA